TGCTAATAACCTGTGGACGATGTAATTCAAAGGCTGGATTTTCTGATGTGAAAAGAGTGCAACCTTACCTTCAAGACTGATAGGCCCCTTCTGGGAAAGAATAACTGTAATATAGGTTGTATGTTTATCTTTGAGTTTTTTGCTTCACTCGAAGAGTACGGGGAGAACAGAACATTAGTTTGCCTGTTTTGTTTGGTAAATTTTTTGGGGGGAGGAATTATCACAATGGATTTGGTGGAGTGGTGGTGAAACAATGAAGAGATAGTTAAGTCAGTTAGGTTTGAAAACACGCAAAGTTTGTGTGATAGAGGCTACAATTATTGTGATTTACAGTCCCTATTACATTAGAGCATATTACGTGAGATTTGTGTGGATCTGTCTTAGGGCTGACCCCATTTAGTCCACTGGTCGATAGGCTGTTGGTCGACTGAATTTTTTTTTGTTTTTTTTTGTCGAGCAGTCGCAAATAGATACTTTTTTGGAACGGTCCAAGAAGAAGGGGAGTGTGATGAACAAGGCACGTCTCTCCAGAATGTGCTCTCTCCTGCCATTTCATGCACATTCATTGTTTCATAACTTCATTGTGTGAATTGTTTGCCCTTTGATTGTTAGTGTCTATCAATTTCCCATTACATATATCACCAGAAGTACATTTACCGTTAATTCCCATTTCAAATCTACAATGCCTATTTGGTTACGTTAATTTCTGTTAATGCATTAAATATATATATATATATATATATATATATATATATATATATATTATTACAGTCATTTACCATTCTCATTGTTGGAGTGGACACGTTTGTGTGAAACAAGTTTTGGTTTATTTCATTCCATTTACAAGTTTTGTCAATTTATTCATTGTCTTTTGTTTGGAGCGCTCCTGTCAATGTTGAGTAAAGACGCACACCTGATTACGCATATAGAGGTAGGCCTAGGCTACCTGGGCTGCGTGCAAATTTAGGCCTATAAATGTGCCCATTTGGGGATGTCTGATTTTAGTATTTCTGATTGTCTTAACTCACCACCACTAATGAGCTGTGGAGCTTTTCAAAGTAATTTTTTCTTCACCTCAAACAGCAAGTAAACAAAGTCTGTTTTTAGAATCCATTGAGAATGACAAAAATTCCTCAATGTATTTGAAATATATTTCCAGCTCTCACCTTTTTGATAACTACTCGACATGAAAGGGAAAAATGTAATGCTCTGATCCAGTGGAAAAGTCATAAAATACCTGCACAAATACTCTACAGCTGTGTCTGTCCCGAGCTCACTGGCGCTGGAAACTCTGTTACAAGTTTGCTTGCTAGAGATTCGGGCTGGACCCAGTTGATACAATGTTTCAAGTTTGTTGCAGAGAGGCCATGCATAGCCAATGTGATTTTATAGGATATTTATTTTTATTCAGGATATTTGCTACCTTCAGGCTGTAATGTTTTTATTTGTTGTCTTTATGTAGGCTATTTTTAAATAGTTGGCAATATAAGTTACTTTTAGATTTGTATCATTTTAATTTAGATATCATTTTGATTAACCACATGACAATGATTTTGAGATACGAAGGCTTTACTATTAATGAAATGTTCCACAAATGTGAATATGAAAATCATAACTGGCACGCAGATCGGTAGAAATTGTAAGATAAATTGACACTTCAAATGGAAAAGGTTGACGACCCCTGGTGTAGCCCATTACCGGTAACTTTAGGAGCATAACGGCAGAATCTGCGAAGGCCAGCAGCAGCGGTAGGAGGAGGGTCGGGAACAAGTTATGTATATATATATATATTTTTTCTTTCTGTTTAGGCGATCTTGCTCTCTGGCTCCCACTTGAGTCATTTGTATGTCTTAATTATTTAATCAAACAGTGTGCTTTAGGCATCAGACAAGCTCTACATATAGTTGATTTTATAAAAAAAACATAGGGTGTGTCTATATGGAAAAATAGATCTTTTAACATTTCGACCTTTGGTCGGAGACGGCCCTAATTTATCTGCCGTTTGTTCTTGGCTCCTGCTGAAGGCAATCTTATCAGAATTACCTTTATTCACCAAGGACATTTACACATATCCAGAATTTGCCTTAGTTAGAAGGTGCTGCCAGCAATAGACAAACAATACAGACACAAGTCCACATAAACGTCATACAGAATATACAGTATCGGAGCAGTAAACATAAAACTCTGGAGTATAGGCTGATTACAGTGGGAATATACCATTTACAGAGGGGATATATCTATATAAGGGAGGGATGCTGCCGTGATGAATATATACAGTGTTGTGTGGAGGTTTTACATGCAAATGCAGTATAGTGCAGATTAGTATTTGAGGTCATTGATGACAAGGTGCCGTAATCGGCCCAATGCAAAGTCACAATCCCTATGAGCCTATCTATGTATTAAGGTAAGGGTGGTTCCCCTCCTCCACCCCTGAGCCCTGAGGAATTCAACAGGCAGTTCATCACCGTCTGAGAGCCAGGGCAGATGCAGATGCCCAGGACTTGTGCAGGTGCCTAGTCCCTCACAGACGTATAGACGCTTCCCGACGTGAACACTCCCAGAGGCAGGTGTGAACACTGAGAAGCAGACACTTGTCTCTGCACTTGCCCTCTGCAGATCAAACGCATTGTGAATTGGTCAATAGTGTCTGGACTGCCACAAGATTGTCTACATTTTCTGGATATGGTTCTTCTGTGAATTATTTATCATGCAACAATTTGAAAGATTTTACTGAGTTACAGTTCATAAAAGGACATTCATTAGGCCCTAATCTATGGATCAGAAAACAAGTCAGTATCTGGTGTGACCACCATTTGCCTCATGCAGCGCGACACATCCCCTTCACATAGAGTTGATCAGGCTGTTGATTGTGGGCTGTGGAATGTTGGTCCCATTCCTCTTCAATGGCTGTGCGAAGTTGCTGGATATTGGTGGGAACTGGAACACGTTGTCATACACATCGATCCAGAGCATCCCAAACATGCTCAATGGGTGACATGTCTGGTGAGTATGCAGGCCATGGAAGTACTGGGACATTTTCAGCTTCCAGGAATTGTGTACAGATCCTTGCGTCATGGGGCTGTGCATTATCATGCTGAACCATGAGGTGATGGCAGCGGATGAATGGCACGACAACGGGCCTCAGGATCTCGCCATTGATAAAATGCAATTGTGTTCATTGTCCGTAGCTTATGCCTGCCCATGCCATAAGCCCACCGCCACCATGGGGCACTCTGTTCATAACGTTGACATCAGCAAATCGCTCACTCACACAATGCCATACATGCTGTCTGCCATCTGCCCGGTACAGTTGAAACCGGGATTAATCCGTGAAGAGCACACTTCTCCAGCGTGCCAGTGGCCATCGAAGGTGAGCATTTGCCAACTGAAGTCGGTTACGACGCCGAACTGCAGTCAGGTCAAGACCCTGGTGAGGACGGCGAGCACACAGATAAGCTACCCTGAGAAGGTTTCTGACAGTTTGTGCAGAAATTCTTGTGTTGTGCAAACCCACATTTTCATCAGCTGTCCGGGTGGCTTGTCTCAGACAATCCCGCAGGTGAAGAAGCCGGATGTGGAGGTCCTGGGCTGGCGTGGTTACATGTGGTCTGCAGTTGTGAGGCCGGTTTGACATACTGCCAAATACTCTAAAATGTCATTGGAGGTGGCTTATGGTAGAGAAATGAACATTCAATTCTCTGGCAACAGCTCTGGTGGACATTCCTGCAGTCAGCATGCCAATTGCACGCTCCCGCAAAACTTGAGACATCTGTGGCATTGTGTTGTGTGACAAAACTGCACATTGTAGAGTGGCCTTTTATTGTCCCCAGCACAAGGTGCACCTGTGTAATGATCATGCTGTTTAATCACCTTCTTCATATGCCACACCTGTCAGGTGGATGGATTATCTTGGCAAAGGAGACAAGCTCACTAACAGGGATGTAAACACATTTGTGCACAGCATTTTAGTGGAATATGGAACATTTCTGGGATCTTTTATTTCAGTTCATGAAACATGGGACCAACACTTTACATGTTGCATTTATATTTTTGTTCAGTGTACGTATTGAGAATCAAATGGCGATTGAGCCGGCTACTTTCACGTATGAAACGGCACAATCTATAGGCCAACTTTGGCGTACTTTACAAAATCGATTCTACAGCATAGGTTGACTATCTGTTCGTCGTAGGCTCCTCTATGTATCTACAATGCAGGACCCTTGTCCCAATTAAGATGTGAATAGTAAGAGTGCTCGGCAGAACTATAAACACACACTGTTTAGAGGTAGTTGTTTATGGTAAACTATATGCAAGTTTCTCCCTGGAAGCTAAGCAGCTCCCCTCACGGAGGTCACACACCAGTCATGGGAGAGATGAAGAGGGAGGGACAGAATGAGGGAGGGAGGGAGGGAGGGAGGAGAAGAGCAAGAACAGAGCTCATGACTCTCAGGAGAACCCTCTTACACAGATTTATTTTGACAGTCGGGGAGTCACAAGGTTAGAAGTGCATATTTATCTAGACGGACTTGAAGAATTCCGCAGTGTGTGTGTTAGAATTATAGCTGTGCTGATTTAAATTCTGAATCTAATTAAACCTAATTATGCTGTTTTCTATGAAAATAGCAGGGATATCTGTGGATAAACCAAGCTGTAATTGGAGCTGGATGTGCCTACAGGTCACTCAGGTCCTGAGAGAGAGAATATATTGAATTTGTGTATCCGAAGTTATATCAATGTATACACAGTTTTTTTCCCCCCACTAATATATAAACGTCATTCATTGGAAGCATTACTTGCTTTCTTTCATCTTAGTGCTCATTATCATCAGTGCAAAAACCATTAATGTACTTTACTTATTATTTATTCACAATGGAATTGCGTTTTAAACCATCCCTCCCTAAACCATATAATAAAGCAATCAAATAGGCTATATAAATCCGATTTTCTCGACCCGAGCACTTTATGTGAGGACCCTGTGGCTCTGCCTATATCATCAGTACATGTCGAGAGCTGTGATAGACTTTGCAGTCTCGTTCCTCACCAAGCCCCGACATCTGGAGTTTCCGCACGCAGAAAAGTATGCACGGGCCAGCCATGAAACACAGGAACTGTTTGTGTTCCCTGTCTGAGGGGTTTGGAGCAGGGAAGAGAAAATATCGAATGAGTCTCCACTGGCCAACCCTGTAATAAAGCTAGCCCTCAACACCCTTTAATGACTCCAATCTGGCCGGGGGTTATGGGTACTGGTTGTGTGTGTGTGTGTGACCCACCACATCCCCTCCAGAAGGCCAAAAAATAGGGCGACCACAAGCCAGTTGGGTCTCCCCCCCCTCTTCTCACGCCCTCTTCCTCCAAAGGCTTAGTAATTGAATAGTGATGTTAACATACTATTGAATAACATACTGTACTGTGAAAGGTGACTAGCGTGAGTACAAATCTGAAGAAAGGGGAAGAAAGTGTATTTTGGGGCCTAAAATGAGCCTGCTCTTTTCTTTTCTTCTGAGATGTATGACACTGCTTGTGTATGGTCTTCTGTCACAGGACATTTTCTCTGACAATGCTTTTCAGAGTAAACCAATGACTTCTCATTGTAGGGTATCCACCCATACTGCTCAGAGTGGATGAAAACGTGCTTTGTTGATGAATTTCACTTCTTTATGCTATAAGAATACATTTTTACCTTGATAAATATAATTATTCATGTTCTGAATCGTTCAGTGGGGTCTTTCTCTAACAATGTCATTAACATTTTATCAAAAAAGTTGGAAATCTTAACCTTATACATCCGATAATAAGCACCGAGCTCTGTTGACATAGCGGTGCAGATTTTTTTGAGGATTTTACATTTTGTGGTTGTTGTCTTCAAAGTTTCCGCGGGTTGCAAAATTAGCATGACACCAGCTGAATTAAATGTGATTATTAATTAAACGCTCAGTGCTCCGTTGACATTTCAGAGATATGGTTATTTTTGTGAGAAATCTTTTAAAAGAACATGAATTTCTAATTGATATGAGAAGCGTATAATAAAGTATGAAAGTGCTACATGTCATGTCTCAAAATCGATATCTATCTTACCTCTATTGTTTAATTTCCTGCGGATTCGAGTTCAACGGGAAAGTGAGCCTGTCAGGTAGCCTTAATTCTTGCACAGAATCCAGCCTAGCTGACACTATGCAATTTTCCTGATTTTAATTTTAATTTTATTTATTGATGTTTTCAATGATGTTTTCCAACTTGGTCTCAGAGCATTTCTTACTATTCTGTATGTAAAATCTGAAACACTCCATTTAGTATGATACAGTATGTTATGTTTCATATGGTATGTATCAATTTGTGGCTGTCCATCCCCCATTATGCATGAAACGTATGATATGTTACGAATTTGCTAAACTTATGATATGTTACAAATTCTAGCTAGGTGGCTAGGCTAGGGGTTTGGGTTAGGGGTTAAGTTTAGGGATATGTTTAGGACTTAGGTGAAAGGGTTAAGGTTAGGAGAAGGGTTACTTAGTAGTAAGTAGTTGAAAAGTTGCTAAAATGCTAAAGTTGTCTGTGATGAGATTCCCCGACCAACCACCTTCCTTTTGTTTTTGCCTTAACCTCTACAGGATCGGTGTCCCGTATACGGGACGGTTGAGCTAACGTGCGCTAATGTGATTAGCATGACTGTTGTAAGTAACAGCAAATGTCTTATATGGGCAGAAAGCTTAAATTATTGTCAATCTAACTGCACTGTCCAATTTACAGTAGCTATTACAGTGAAAAAAAATATCATGCTATTGTTTGAGGAGAGTGCATAACAACCAAAAACGTATCACGGCAACTGGTTTGATACATTTACCTCTGAAGGTAAATAATGTACTTACATTCAGTAATCTTGCTCTGATTTGTCATCCTAATGGTCCCAGAGATAAAATGTAGCATAGTTTTGTTTGATAAAATCCATTTTTATATTCAAATGTAGAAACTGGGTTCTACAGTTTGAACCCTGCTGTCTCTGGCTTTTTGTTTGTATTATCTTTTACCAGATCTAATGTGTTATATTGTCCTACATTGTTTCCTTTCAAATGGTATCAAGAATATGCATATCCTTGCTTCAGGTCCTGAGCTACAGGCAGTTAGATTTCCGGTATGTCATTTTAGGCAAAATTTGAAAAAAAGGCTGTGATCGTTAAGAGGTTAAGTAACCATCTGTCTTATAACCATAGTAAACGTAACATATCATATGTACAGAATAATATGAAATGCTCTGAGACCAGGTTGGATTTCTGAACATTCTTTTTCTCTGGCCTCTGTTGATTTAGTCACCCTAATTCCGGCCATCCTGCGAGGGTAAAAACTTGGGTAACTTTTGAACGGATAATGATAGAGACGTGGTTTGGACCATTGGTTTTCTTAGAGGATTATCTACACTATTATTTTTTCCCATTGGTCAAAAAAATTGTTTTTGATTGGACACCCTATTAATTGATGCTTTTGGCTGAAGCCACCATCAAAAAAATTAAAATAAACTTTGGTCATTGAAGTTTGATACCCTAATTTCCCCGATTGTATGGTTTCCCATTTTAGCATAATGCTCTGAGTTTTTCACCCTTGAAAGAAGAGACTTGCATAGCATTTATCACTTAGAGCACAATCTGATGTGAATAGATTGTTTTGTATTTTATTAGGATCCCCATTAGCTGTTGCGAAAGCAGCAGCTACTCTTCCTGGGGTCCACACAATACATGAAACATTACATAATGCAGAACATTAATAGACAAGAACAGCTTAATAAAAACGTCACACATAGCTAGGATTAAGGTGATCCGGTGCGGTGTCCCGGCAAAATAAATAGTGGGGGTACACCGTACCGGTAAAACATGAGCCTATCACAATAATTAAAACAAAATGTCAAAAACTGTAAGCTATTACACCACTTTTGATCATAACATCACTTTTGATCATTACCGCATGTCAGAGGCATGGAAAATAAGCGAATGGACTTGAAAACGGGTGGTATAGTCTATTCTCCAAAATGCGATGTGGTTCGATGAGAACACTGACATTTTGCCAAGGCAGAGATGAGTGGTCGACTCAAAGACACGCGTGGACAGCAGTGGATGCATACATTCTGGCTTAATGACAATCTCCAAATGTCATTACACTTTTTGGTGTTTTGTGTAGCTAGACTGGTCTCCTAGACTAGACAGAAACAGATGTCTCTTTCCATTCACCACTGTTTGGAGGCTGGAAATATATTGCGAGTGGATGAGCGTGCGGGGGAAGCCTAGTAAAGGAGCCCTTTGAAGTGATCGTTTGACAATCAGATGAGAACATCATGACTGGTTGTGTTTATGCCACAATAAAAAGTAATAGGTTTTTAATGTTTAATGACAAATCTTTTACGACTAGGTCCACAGAGATCCGATTTGAATTAATAGGGATTCCAAATGTAATTCTATGATTAGGTCCATACAATTTTTAGGAGGTCCCGTACCGGGAAGAAATGTAATTATACTTTCACACCTGCACATAGCCTACATATGTGTTGCTTTATCTGTTAGTTTTTTTAGCTGTTCACTAGAGCAATATGAGATGGAAGGGAGTTCCATGCAATCATGGCTCTATATAATACTGTACGCTTTCTTTACTTTGTTTTGGATTTGGGGACTGAAAAGATGCAAGGCTGCATGTCTGGTGGGGGGTAAGTGTATGTCAGAGCTGTGTGTAAATTGATTAGGCAAACAATTTGGAATTTTCAACACATTCATGTTTCTTATAAAAATAAGTGATGCAGTCAGTCTCCTTTACTTTTAGCCAAGAGAGCTTGGCATGCATAGTATTAGTCCTCTGATTACAGTGAAGAGCAACACGTGCCACTCTGTTCTGGGCCAGCTGCAGCTTAACTAGGTCCTTCTTTGCATCACCTGACCAAATGACTGGGCAATAATCAAGATAAGATCAATCTAGAGCCTGCAGGACTTGCTTTGTGGAGTGTGGTGTCAAATCTCTTTATCACGGACAGACCTCTCCCCATCTTTACAACCATTGGATCAATATGTTTTGACCATGACTGTTTACAATCCAAACTAACACAGAGTAATTTAGTCTCCTCAACTTGCTCAACAGCTACATAACATTATTCATTATCAGATTCAGCTGAGGTCTAGAACTTAGGGAATGATTTGAACCAAATACAATGCTCTTAGTTTTAGAGATGTTCAGGAGTAGTTTATAACTGGCCACCCATTCTAAAACCGACTGCAACTCTGTTTAGGTTTGCAGTGATTTCACTAGCTGTGGTTGCTGACGCGTATAGGGTTGAATCATCAGCATACATAGACACATAGGCTTTGTTTTAATGCCAGTGGCAGGTCATTAGTAAAAATAGAAAAGAGTAGAGGGCCAAGAGAACTGCCCTGCGGTACAGTACACTTTACATGTTTAACATTAGAGAAGCTTCCATTAAAGAAAACCCTCTGTTCTATTTCATAGATAGCTCTGAATCTACGATATGGCAGAGTTTGAAAAGCCATAACACAAGTTTTTTCAACAACAGGTTAAGGTCAATAATAACAGTACAGCTCCCACAATCTTCTTATTATACATTTCTTTCAACCAATCATCAGTCATTTGTGTCAGTGCAGTGCATGCTGAGTGCCCTTCTCTATAATCATGCTGAAAGTCTGTTAATTTTTCCTAAATGTTGCTAAGAGTCGGCAGCAAGCTGATTGGTCGGCTGTTAGAACCAGTAAAGGGTGCTTTACCATTATTGGGTATCGGAATGACTTTGGCTTCCCTCCAGGTCTGAGGATAATCTTTTTTCTCCAGACGCAGATTAAAATGACAAATAGGAGTGGCAATATAGTCTGCTACCATCCTCAGTAGCTTTCCATCTAAGTTGTCAATGCCAGGTGGTTTCTCATTATTGATGGACAATAATAATTTCCCCACCTCACCCACACTAACTTTTACAGAATTCAAAATTACAATGCTTTTTTTTTCATTATTAGGTATGTTATGCATGTACAGGATATGATGGTTCACAGTTTTTTGTTGGCATTTCATACCTAAGTTTGCCTACTTTGTAACTGTCAACATAAAGGTTTTGTGATTAATGAGTCATCTTATTTAATGAAAGATTTTTAATTAGTTTGTGTACACTGAATACCTGCTCTTTCCATGACATAGACTGACCAGGTGAATCCAGGTGAAAGCTATGATCTGTTATTGATGTCACTTTTTAAATCCACTTCAATCAGTGTAGATGAAGGGGAGGAGATGGCTTAAAGAAGGATTTTTAAGCCTTGAGACAATTGAGACATGGATTGTGTATGTGTGCCATTGAGGGTGAATGGACAAGACAAAATATGCCTTTGAATGGGGTATGGTGGTAGGTGCCAGGCGCACCGGTTTGAGTGTGTCAAGAACTACAACGCTGCTGGGTTTTTCACGCTCAACAGTTTCCCGTGTGTATCAAAAATGGTCCACCACCCAAAAGACATCCAGCCAACTTGACACAACTGTGGGAAGCATTGGGTCAACATGAGCCAGCATCTCTGTGGAACGCTTTCAACACCAATTAATTGAGGCTGTTCTGAGGGCAAGAGGGGGTGCAACTCAATATTAGGAAGGTGTTCCTAATGTTTTTTACACTTAGTGTTTGTATATAATGGTGTGAAATAGACAGTATGGACAGTATATGAATAGAAAAGGTGTGTACAGCGGTAGTTCTATAGGAGGAGCATTGACTAGAATACATTGTGTACATATAAAGTGGGTAAAACTGTATCTAAACATTATTAAAGTGACCATTGTTCAAGGATTATGTACGGAGGGCAACAGTCTTTAAGGTGCAGAGTAGAGTACCGGGTGGCAGCCGGCTAGTAACAGTGACTAAGGTTCATGGCAGGGTACTGGGCGGAGGCCGTGTAGTGGTGACTATTTAACAGTCTGATGGTCTGGAGATTGAAGCTGTTTTTCAGTTTCTCGGTCCCAGCGTTGACGCACCTGTACGGTCTCCGCCTTCTAGATGGCAGCGGGGTGAACAGGCCGTGGCTCGGGTGGCTGAGGTTCTTGATGATCTTCTTTGCCTTCCTGTGACACCAGGTGCTGTAGATATTTGGCACTCATAAAGTTGATTACCTCATAGCATCTTATCTCAAATTCATAAGGGGTCAATAAGTACAATACTTAAGCCCTTTGTACAATGCTTTCTCTGTTATCTGATTGATAGTTGATAGAGGTGATGCATTTTACCATATGTAGACATCAGATTTCTCTCAGACAAATTATGCATACTTTCATTGAGTCGTTGTTGCCCCGACTTGAACTAGTCTGAACATAGATTTAGCAATACCAGTGACTTGTGGATCTAGCCCCTATAAAACGATAATGCCTGGTTGCCAACGCGTCTATCATTATTGAAGGTCAAGACGAGACACCTGAACTGCTGGTGTCTACGATCAAGCGTTACATCAAATGACTTCATGTGGCACTCAGGAAACAATCTCAAAGTGAGTCACCGCCGCTTTGGATCAGATTATCATACCTTTTAACCATCAAAGCAGAAGAGGTTTGACGGAAAGTATGCAACCACCGACTCTCACCAACCTGGATGAATTGTACCCTGTAGAGACACATGCTACCAATTTAGCATCATGAAAGACCATGGTGGGAAGAAGATAGTTGTTTTTCCCCTGTCCTCTTCCTGGCACTATAGAACATTCCATGAATGGAGGGTTGAGGGACAATAGGATGGGATTACTAGAGCTGGGCTTTTTTTCAGTGTTGAAGGAATTTCAAATGTCCAAAGTAGACTCATTCTTGTTAGGTGATGAGCACTTTTTAGTATGTGGAATGTAGTTGAGTTCGAATTCTGCAAATAGTATTTACTGCTGAAAGCTGCTGTACATTTGTAGAATGTTGTTCTTTAATTGAAGTTGACATATACATCTCTTTATTTTCTTCACAGGATTTTAAGCAACAACAAAATTCAGGAACTGAAGAATGGATCCTTCATTGGGCTGTCTACTTTGGAAAGATTGTGAGTCTTAACATTTTCATAATATTCTCATGTTTCCTACAAGCTCTGACCATGGGATAATTAATAATAAGTGTAATTTATGCCTTTCATCTCATGTCAATCGATATCTAGAATCATGTTTCACTCTCCACATACTATTTGACAAGGCACAGCTTCCTTTCAGTATAATGTGTGAGATGAGTCCTAAACCAACCCAATTACTCATACTATATATACCATAGTAAAGCTTGGGGAAGTGCTATGTTAGACACAAATGTGCTTTATTTATTACAGGCTTGCAAACCTTTTCTAGGGGCAGTAATGACAGAATCCAATCCAAGCTTGTTTCACACAACAGGCATTTCTTGGTGTTTCATTTCAGAAGTCAGAACAATATCTAGTGATTGTAAGTGGAGTAAACCATTATGCAATAAGCTATGAGTTAGGAAGAGAGCCAGAGAACGAGATAAAAAATGCAACAACAAAAAGAAGATACATGAGGCAGAGAGTAAGAGTGAAAGCTAAAGGGGAGCAATACAGGGGAGAGGAGAGTAGGCTTGTTGTACTTTCTCTGTCTTCGTGTCAATAGGCAGCGAAGACATTTATTGAGGTGGTGTGCTCTGTCAATATTGAATGTGCGTCGGAACGATTGAGTGAGCGCGCGGATAGTTGTTGGAATCCATTTGTTGGAGTCTTGTTTTGGAATCATAACTCCCGTGTTTCCCCCGAGACTCAGAGGAAATGCTCTCGGCCCGTGTGTTATGGACCTCTGGTGATTTATTGCTTCGGAATGGCTTCGTGCAGATAAAAGAACCAGACCATTAATAGCCAAGCTTTTACCCAAGGCTACAATAACCAATGACTGTATCAATGGGGAATTTCAAGGGAATATTTTCCCAGGTCTTGTTAAAAGGTCCATGGGAGCCTTTTTTGGCCGCAGTTAGCTATCTGGTATTGGTTTAGAAACCATAGACAGGCGGTTGAAGGTTGTAGAACAAATGTATAACTTAATGTTGGGTCACAGTACGTTTACATGCACACTAATAATTCAATATTAAACTGATTATGGCAGAAGGTCGAGTATGGCATTAGTCATGTAAACACCTTACTCTGCTTATCTTAATCGGCGTAAGGTCATAATCGAAGTAAGCATATGCCAATTAAAACACCTGGATTTCTGAGCAATCTTTCAAATTATTGGGACATGTAAACAGCTTAATCAGTGTTCCAACGGCGTATTTGATCTGCGCATGTCCCAGCACTGGGTAGCACAAGCCTCCCTTTTATGCGAGAGTGAAGTGAGTTTGGAAAAACTGAAGTATGCATCTTTTAAATAGTTTTCACATACAAACTTTATATGTCGGAACTCAGAATCGAAAAGTCTTCGCAAGAATAACGTGGTCAATGTGGTAGAATGTTTTATTCTGATTGGTGATTTTCTGCATTTATTAGAAGTGCCATCAGTAGCCTGATTTCAGATGTGTCGATGTAAACTGGATTATTAGGGAAATCGTTCTTCTTGCAAAGCATGTAAACATTTTAAACTATTATATTAACCTGACTATCCACAATAATCGCATTATTGTGTGCATGTAACCGTACTCAGTGGAAGTTTAAGAGTTGTACCTACAGTAAACATTCCCACTTGTTGAAGTTCCTCATCATGTGAGGCTACATGTTTAGCTCCAGTCTGTTAGCTTGTTTACCCTCCGTTTGTCTTTCACCCACAAGCACACCTATCCCTCATCTGAATATGTTATGATGCTATTGACTAGCAGATCCATGCTGATGTATCTTGAACCAATGAGAAGACCCAGAATGACATCAAAGGTCAAATAGGGTGTGCTTATATTTGTCCTGTTTCACTGCATGTACAAGTGGATATCCCAACTCCCCCTGAGACACCCTTGGAGAGTCGAGTCACAGCCAGGGATGTACCTAGGCATTAATTTGCTTTAGAATATCACTGCACTGCAATGGATGCATGTCATACTCTGTAGTTGCTATGAGTTATGCTTGGACCAGCCACATGCCTGACCTCACCCCGACTACCTTGCCGTATTAATAAGACATCCGCTCCCAGATTGTTTATGGATTTGGGGAGAACTTCCCTCCCGGTTTTTATAAGTGGGTCAGATTTTAGACTTTCGGAGTGGAAGGCCGTAAGACTAACTGGAAGTGCTTTCTGACAGTGAGTGTAAGCTTCATTGATCCTCCCACGCTGAGGAAGCCTTTAATTCTCTTCGCTTCATCTTAATGCATAGTATATGGCCAGTCGCTTTGGCTGGCGAGTTAATTCTCTGGGTGGAAGAAGTGTGCAGCCAGTGGCACATTTACCTCAAAGCAGCTCCCATTGTGCTTTCCCTCCTCCCCAACCCCCTTTCATCCCACTCCCTCATCCAGAGAAGCTCTTTGCTTTGTCATTCTAATGAAGCCAAGCTAAGACCAGAGGTGTCGTCAGAATGATTCACACACACACAATGCCAGCCCGGTTGCATGCTGAAGCGGCCCCTGCTTTTCTTCCCTCCAACTCCCTCCTCCCCTCTCTCTCTCCCTCCCTCTCTCGTCTGACTACAGTCGACAACAAAAAACTAAGAATTCTGTGCCCTGGTCTGTTTGCATGCAGTGACGTGCTCTATCTTCCCTCCTTCCTCCCCTGCTTCCTTCCTTCCTTCCCTCCTTCCTCCCCTGCTTCCTTCCTTCCCTCCTTCCTCCCCTGCTTCCTTCCTTCCCTCCTTCCTCCCCTGCTTCCTTCCTTCCCTCCTTCCTCCCCTGCTTCCTTCCTTCCCTCCTTCCTCCCCTGCTTCCTTCCTTCCTCAGAGCACAGCCAACAAAATAGGGATTCTCCTCAGCTTGTGTGCAGTGGTGCGCTCTGTGATTGGAGCTCATTGTGAGTGGCAGGCAGGGGGGAAATTGATTAGCCCTCTTCAGCCGTGAAATGGCAGGGTAACTGTGGCGACGGCAGTGTTTTGTTACGGCCAAAGGTGTCCTGGCATGGAGATGAGGCCCACTGAATCCCCATTATCACCCTCCTACACAGTAATATGAACCCAAGCTAGCCCCTGTCGCACGGTTATTCTCTCCCAAAGCTGCCACAAAGTCAATGCAGAGCGAAGGGTTATTACGAATGAAGCGGGGATAATCTCTTGTTATTTGGAAAGACTGGAGAGGTATTGAGTTTCAAGAGGAACCATTATGGGGAATAACTGTCAGTGAGGAATGCTAGTCTGGGACTGTATGCATGTAAGAGAACTGTAAATATTGTGTAACTGTAGGTTATCAACATTGCATAAGATGACAAAGCAATTACACAAAATGTATAATATGGGGTGAGACATTTGTGTTTCTCACTTAAAAATCTCAAAGTTGAGAGAAGCCTTATTTGATCAATTCTTGTGATCTGCTAACAAGGAATCATCCATCATTTTGTTTCAGAAGACAGCCTTGTTTAACATCAGCAATTTCTCTTCATCAACATAAATGTTCATCTTGAAAGCAGCCTTGTGACAGATTTGGTAGAGTATACTTGTTAGAAACCTACCAAATAGACAATCTGACTTTAATATTGCTTGTGGCAAATGGAAATTGAAGAAACGTTATATTTTCCCCCTTCAGAATGACAAGGCCATAATGTTTATCAGTAGCTACCGTGCTCTTATATTGAACAGCACATTTGGCAGTTTCTACACCTTTCCAAAATGGCTGCAGAGGCTTCTACATAATCTTTAGTTTAAACTAGACCGAACACAAGGATAATTCTGGAACCACCTAAAGCACTCCCAAGGTAAATTAATTCAGACTTCATTATCCAGTCATTTCCATTTTAGAATGACAAGCAGGCCTAGCGTGTTCTTGCAAAGAGAGTTTATAGAACTTGAGGCGGAGTTGGGATACGGCCTACCCCCGACATTACCCCGACTCGCCCCTCATGTTATCCACAAGTTATTCTGCTTCTCTAAATAGGAAACTTCAAATGGTTTTTATATTCTGTACTGTTACTGCTATTTCTGCCAGTAGAGTGCAGATGCAAAGGTGATAGTGTTGGATTTGTATGATTTTCCCTTTCCAATACGTCGATGCCACCCCTCAAATTGTATCTTAGTGACGACTTGACAGTGGGGTACAGCAGATTGTACTTGGAGCGTCAATTAATAGAAAATATAGATCAACCAACTTCTTAAAGCTGGAATCCGTAATGGTGAAACGGCCACGTCCGTTTGGGATATTACACCAACGAAGAAGTTACTGCCAACAACCAACACTGGATGCGCGATAGAACAGAATAATATGTATTGCACATCTTCTTTATCACACTGTGTGACGCTCCTCACCTTGTTCGACAAAAAACAATAACAAAGGCGGTGGGGCGACCGGTGGCGCTGTTTCCCCTAATGAGGATTCCATCTTTAAACAACTGACACAGATCGGAAACGGTACCTTTCAGTGACTCGCCTCAAGTAATCCACCAAACAAAGACCATTCTTTACCCCCTTCCAAGAAGCCACAGAACTGATCACGCCAAGCTGTCCGTTTTTTGGAAAACCACAGAACGAACATTAGGAAATGCAATCACAGAGAACTCTGAACTTGAGTTTGAAACGAGTCCAGAACAATTGTTGGACTCTTTCACCCTTTGCCAGCATTCCAACACTACTCTTTGAGGAAATGAAAGGCTCATTAGATTGGGATTGGCTTTGGTGCTTTGACACTGGCCATTTGACTGGCACTGGCCCAACCATGGCATGATTAAGCCTGATTAAGCATGGATAAATGTAAAACCCACCTTTTGCCTTGTTGAACACCCTCCCCCAGAGTCTGGACTGCTATTCTACCACTTGTGATATGTTGCCCCTCTCTGTTGATTTACTATGGTCAGCAACATCAAACAGTTGGGTAAAGACCACAGCTAGGGTTGGTGATGGCAACACTAGCATTTCAAAGTGAAACTTTTGGAAGGTATTTAGAGAGGAGAACAGAATTGGCTATAGAGAAATTAGTAGGGGAAAAAGTACCATTTCGGCACAGTAAGCAAGTACAAAGATCCTCCCTTCCTAGCCTCTTGCAGGTGGTCGAAGGCACTCTGTGCTCTATTTGTGCCTTGCATTTCAAAGATAATAATTTTTTCGCCCTCCCCCTTTTCCATTTTTCTTTCAACACCCCTCTACAGGAAAGCCAATTCTGCCAGTTCACATCAAAAGCAATAGCTAGACTGTGTAGCCCTGCCTCCCAATCCCCCCACCATTTTCCTCATGACAGCTCCTCAACATCAAACAGCCCAGCCACAGTTACCCAGCGGCCTTTGTGTGGAGGCTCAGGTGGCGACCCGCAAGGTCTTTTGAAACATGGATTGTAATGAGTGACTCTGCAGTGGCGGCGCGGGTGAGCGCTAGGCGCTAGCAGGGATCTGTGACCGTTCGACCTTTGAACTTGGTCCAGGATGGAGCGTGGCGGGGTCCTTTGTGTGTGGGCACCCACGGCTGTCAGCAATGGTGCTGAGGAGGCCTGATTGATGGGGGGGGGGGGGGGGGGGTCTCGTGCGCTAGCCACAGGTGTCTGAGTGGGTGAGAGTCCCACGGGATATGGGAGGATTGTTGGCCATTTGGTTCTACTGTAACGAAGTACCATAGAACCAGGGGTTAATGGGGTGAGCAGCAGTGGGATTTCAGTCATGCATTCTCCTAAAAATTTTGCTAAAAGCTGGCTCTTGGATGGCCTCCCGAGTGGCGCAGCGGTCTAAGGCACTGCATCGCAGTGCTAGAGGCGTCACTACAAATCTGGGTTCGATCCCAATAGTACTGTTTGTCCATTTTTAGATGCCGTAGCCAGTATATGCTTCCTCAAAATAGTCATCATTAATCTAAAATAACTCAAGAAATCTGTCATTTAATTTTGACGTTTTTGTCGAGGAGATCTTAGTCGCACAATTTTTCTTCTAAATAAGATGTTTGGTGAAGTATTTCTCAATGAAAAAATGTGCATGAAAACGAGTAATCTCTCATTGAATGACAACAAAGACTTTATTGAAGAATCCCTACTGTTGACCAATCACCGACGAAGGGGCGTAGACTTCGGCTTGCCTCTCGAAAAAAAATGGTGTGCCCGTCACAAAATGTAATCATAATATATGCACAAACTGTTTCAGCTGGGAAGCATGCGGACGCCTTTAGTCTCTTAGAACTGGTCTCTGAATGTACAAAGCACTTATATTAACAGTAGCCCTATTTATTTGATCAGTCCATCAGGGAATATGAATCAACCCTTTCTAATGTTTGTTATAAGATGCGTAGAATATGATTTATTGCTCATTAGGGAGTGGTATTGTTGGATGAAGTTGGTTGCAAGTATTCGTAATATCTGATTGCATTATGACACGAACAAGACTAGAAGTATTAATTGTTGTGTACTTGATGTTAAGTTTGTCTTTATTTTCTTGTGGCTAACCCTCTTTTTGTCTTTCACAGGGACATGCGGAACAACATCATCAGCCGTATCGAACCGGGGGCTTTTCTTGGACTGCTCGCACTCAAAAGACTGTGAGCATTATCAGTATTCCCATCAGCATTAAATCATTTTAATTTTAGTAAAATATGTCAATTTCTTGGCAGATGCTATAATGTGTAGGTCTTGGACGACAGCCAGCAAGAGTCATCGGCTGAACAGTTTCAAACCTGTGTCTAAACCAAGCTCTTTTACTCAACGTCAGATTTCTTTCACAGAATCCAATTCACACCATTTCCAATACTGTTAGAGAAGAGAAAGAGATGGGTATTATGAAAAGAGAAATACCTACACACGGTTGTATATGTTCCCACGTCGCAACATTTTGACCGATGTTGGCCCTATCTGTTGTATCTGGTATAGAGGCTATTGCCAACTCTCTGGGTCTAGTGTATCCAGTCTATAAGTGACTGCTGTAAAGCAGCTTTCTATTAAGTTCTCCAGTCCACTTGGGCCCTTGCCAGGGACTGCTCGAGACTGCATGAGGCCCTATCTACTTTCACACATACAAGGAAAAGGGGGATGGGTGTGTACTCGGTAATGTGTGTGTGTTAGAGAGAGTGTTCGAGTGTGTTTGTGTCTGTGCACGCTTCTGTGTGTGTGTGTGTGCGAGTGTGCGCCTGTATGAGTGCATGTGTATTGGGATCATCTCACACTGGCCGGTCCTTGCCAACATAAACTAGAGTTTGGCTGCTGGTGCGGAGCAGTGAGTGAGACGGGAAGGTTGTCAACTCCTTGGCTTGGACAGAGCTTCATTTCCCCTTGTCAAGCCTCAGCCATTTTACAACCAACAGTGTAACTATATTCTCTAAACCTATAGCTATATTTCCCTTATCTAACCTATATCATTCAGCCAACAGCTATTTCATCTTGAATGGGCCTATATAACACAATGTCAAAGTTGGGTTGGAATTAAATGAATTGATCAGAAACACTGGATATCCACTGATATAAATTCATCAATATAATGTGTTTCTGTTCAGAACGACACAGCAGTCTTTTCACAAAATTAAACGTGTTTGGCAGTGGATATATATTGCACAGACAGCTTGTCAGGTTGTTAAATCATTCATTTGATTGGTCTCTGGCTGCATCTCCAATATATCGCTTACACTTCAACCTATTTCTCAACTAGCGAAGGTGCAAAAAAGAGTAGGAGAGGTAAAAAGTATTGGGCTTTGTGCTGTAGACAGAAGCCCCGTTGCAACTTCTGGCACGCAGTCCGCATACCCTCCTGCCTGCCCTCCACTGGGCTTCTGGAAAAGGGTGATGGAGTTAATTGACACGCTCCCTTTCTATTCTAATGCAGTTGGTAGCAAAGGCTCCTGACAAAGACTTGCAGTGCTGTCTCTCTCTCTCTCACACACACACACAGCCCCAATCTTAAATGTCTCCCATCTGTTCTTATACATCTCTTCAAGACCCTAATTAAATGTTTGCTTGTTTTTAAGACATGCCACTCGCTAGCGGCTAGGCCAAACCGAGGCTGCCTGCCTCTTTTACCCATATTGTTTTCGTGAAGAAACATACATGTTCAATGCACGCTACAATGCATTACTTCACCCCTTTCATTGTCATCATTTGTAATCAAAACTTAGTTAGGTCAAAGTCCACTTTATATTCCAGTGTACATTGTTAGGAAATGTTATAGCCTATTTCAAACCAGGGCTCTTACAGCACAACAGATATGCAACTGATACACTCCCACTTTAGTAAATAAATATCAGAGCTAACACAACATGACTGCAATGTTTGCAGGGTAGCTTAGCTTTGCTTTTAGGTTGGCGCCTGGACTCTTCATGGGACAAACATCTGATCCGGTGTCAGTCAGACGGTGCCTGTCTCAGCTGTTAGGGGCTGGCTGGCTAGGGGTGGGGGGGAGTAGATACCCTGGGAGGAGAGAGCCCCAGGGAATGCTAGTTCCAACACTGTTGTAACACCTGATACATCTAGTCAAGATCCTGGTGAACAGCAAGTAGTAGACTCAGTGCTGTGTCGATATATCAGCAAACTGCATACGTTGGCAATATAGTCAAATGACACCTATGACATGACAAGGCTCGTTTGTGCTGGATGAGTTAAGAGCCACCCATTCAAGTGACTCCGGGGTGAAGTTTCCCCCGGGTACAGATGTAGGATCAACTCCCCCTCCCCCAACCCTGATATGAACCATTAGTGGGGAAACTGACCCAAGATCAGCGTCTAGGGGAAACTTCACCCTACAACTCCTCCTCTTCCCTACTGGCCTCTCCAGGGCCTTACCACCCAGCAGCAGCCTCAACATTCCACCAACAGCTGAACAGTCACTGACCCTGCCTTGTTACTTACACACCAGGCTATTTTAGCATCTGCTCATATCATAACAGACAGCTTGCTCTGGGTCTGCCTAGCTGTAATGTTGAGCTCTGCTGCTACTTTAGTGGACAGACTACAAGTTCATGGACAGGTTTTATGATTTGAAGTACTGTAAAACCAAGATCCTTGTGAGTGTGACACACAGCCCTGAAGCGACGTTATAGTGGGGGGAAAAATTGGCAAGGACATAAAGTCTTCAATTGTCATTTAAAATATTGTTGGAAATCATTGGACATGATGTTGCTATGATGACACAAGCAACAACAATGTCATTTTTGAGAGGCATAGCAGATGTTTTCTCCTTATGTGGGCTGCTTTGACATCACACTACATTTTCCCAACTGCGAGAGCACAGCACCATGTCTAGTGATATGGCATGGCAGCATTGGCAGGACAGGAGTTTATCCCTTTAGCTAAGGAAGTACCCCCCCCCCCCCCCCCCCCCCACTAGGTGATCCTCCTCAGACACAGGATGCCAGCACGACTTCTTGGCAGCCCCCGAAAGGTTTTTCCAGGCCAGGCGGAACTAACCACCTCAAACAGTAAATTCCCCAGCTGCCACCCTCCCTAGGACCCACAACAATAATTAGACCAACACCAGGATGTTTACGTGATGTGCTCCACACTTATTTTCTAAGATTTTGACAAAAAGTGTTGCTAGTGCTGTGATGTTTGCTAGTGCAATGCTGCTGCCATGGCATTAGGCCTTGGGTTAGGGTTGTAGCAATGATGCTGCCCTGGCATTAGGCCTTGGGTTAGGGTTGTAGCAATGATGCTGCCCTGGCATTAGACCTTGATACTGTAAATGTGCGTTAACCTTATATGGACGATGCCATCGTACGGATGATGTCATCGACATTATCATGCTCGTAACATGTACTGGTGTTACACTTTAGTCATTGGTTTACGTTTGAGTTATTAAGCAGATGCTATTTTATCATTTACATTTACATTATTTAGCAGACACTCTTATCCAGAGCGATTTAGAAATTGGTGCATTCAACTTATGATAGCCAGTGGGACAACCACTTTATTTTTTATTTTTTTGTGGGGGAAGAAGGATTACTTTATACTATTCCAGGTATTCCTTAAAGAAGTGTCTCCGGAAGGTGGTCAGTGACTCCGCTGTCCTGGCGTCGTGGGGGAGCTTGTTCCACCATTGGGGTGCCAGAGCAGCGAATAGCTTTGACTGGGCTGAGCGGGAACTGTGCTTCCGTAGAGGTAGGGGAGCTAGCAGGCCAGAGGTGGATGAACGTAGTGCCCTCGTTTGGGTGTAGGGTCTGATCAGAGCCTGAAGGTAAGGAGGTGCCGTTCCCCTCACAGCTCCGTAGGCAAGCACCATGGTCATATAGTAGATGCGAGCCTCAACTAGAAGCCAGTGGAGTGTGCGGAGGAGCGGGGTGACATGAGAGAACTTGGGAAGGTTGAACACCAGACGGGCTGCAGCATTCTGGATAAGTTGTAGGGGTTTAATGGCACAGGCAGGGAGCCCAGCCAACAGCGAGTTGCAGTAATCCTTACAGGAGATGACAAGTGCCTGGATTAGGACCTGTGCCGCTTTCTGTGTAAGGTAGGGTCATACTCTGCGAATGTTGTAGAGCATGAACCTGCAGGATCGGGTCACCGCTTTGACGTTAGCGGAGAACGACAGGGTGTTGTCCAGGGTCACGCCAAGGTTCCTTGCACATCCCGCTGTAACTGCTTGCATATACACCCACAACCTTGATTTTATACACCCACCGCGTTACTTTTATTCACGGGGGCATGTTTTTGTAATGGCTGTTTCGAATTCCCTGCCTACCTCATTTCTTCTAGTTTGACTTTGTATCTTTGAGTTGAACAAAATCATATTTTCGGAATGTTGTCTAAAAACAATCTTCGCCCAAACATGGTTTCTTTACAAAGGACCTCCAGGTCATAGATAATGCTACCTGACGTTTGCCAGAGTCCCGGCGAAAAAGACACTTAGATGTGTATGACATACATCATAAGAGATGAATCTTGACTAGTTTAGTGTGTTACACAAGCTTTGATGTGGAAACCCCCTCTGGGCGAACATAGACATCTCAAATCACCTTGAAAGTTGTAAAACTGACACCTTAATTTTTTTTTATCCCTGCCTCTGCCCCAACTTGTCTGTCAGGGAATGACAACACCAGTCTAGTTGACAGTGTTCCCCATTTTTGATTTGTTGACCTAAAACGTGGATTTATTAGAATTCGCTGATTCACCACATGAAGTCAATTGACTCTAGTCGTATGTATATCATGTTGTTTGTACAATTTGCGATGGCCTATGATGTTTCTAAAAATATTGCTGCTGTTTGACTTGAGGAAATCAGGACAGAATATAACCAGAATCTCCATTTGTTTTGCTTTCTACAGAGACCTGTCCAACAACCGCATTGGCTGCCTCAACGTGGACATATTCAAGGGCCTCACAAGTCTGGTTCGACTGTAAGTAATAGTTATTTTTGATTTGCTTTGAAAGCCGTTCACTTTTTTCTCTATCCATCTTTAAAAATTACTTTCAAAATTATGCCATAAGTTCTTGATAAGGACATTCACGTGAAAGTTACATATTTGGCTCCAGCGCCCCAATAGTATTTGCCCTGCTCTGAACACCAGAAAATGGTGGCAGCCAGGTGTTGAGATATTAGCATATTACCCAGGGTTCCCCCACAGGTCTCAGTGCAACAGCTGCAACACATTATTCCATGTCCTCTTCCCACAATGCAAAGGTGAGGATTAAGATATTCCTGGACATCTCGGTGGAGTAACCAATGACAGGTTGTGTTTGGGTCCTGATTGTGTGATGTGACAGGTTGGCATACTTGATGAATTTGTTATAGGTGATTGATAGCCTTCGTCTTGTCTTTTCAGAAACCTTTCAGGAAACATGTTTTCATCACTAGCCCAAGGGACGTTTGACAGCTTGGTGTCGTTGAAGACATTGTAAGTATGATTTAGGGTTTAAGGAAATAAATGCTATCCCATGGGTCTCTGTAGCAGTTTACAGTGTTTTTACTGGGCTATTTAAAAATGGTAGGGCTACACCATTCTTCAGGCAGCCACTTAAAGGTGGAATCTTTAACTTTTATTTCCCAGTTGGCAACTCAAGGTACTACAAATACATTACAAAACAAAGAATCAAATGATTCCATCTGCCAAAACCCTCAACCTCAGTTTCCAAACTGCTTCATAGGGCTAGTGCTTTTGACTGGAAATGAAACTTAAAGGGGCACTTTACCACTTTTTTACCACTATTTATTATCTCTACAGAGGTCTCAAACAGTAATTTAATGTGTTATGTAGTCAAAAAGATGAGAAGAAACGGTCCTAAGAAAATGACTCTCTACGATGTCATCGGGAGTGTTGACCTGCCCCTTTAACTCTGTGTCTGTCTCCATGTTACCTCAGGGAGTTCCAGACGCCGTACCTGCTGTGCGACTGCAACCTGCTGTGGCTGCTGCACTGGATCAAAGACAACAACGTGGGGGTGAAGGACACCAGCTGCTCCTACCCCCGCTCCCTGCAGGGCCAGCTCATCACCTCCACCAAGCCTGAACTATTCACCTGTGGTAAGGATACACACACACACACACACACACACACACACACACACACACACACCTGGTCCTACACTTACTCATCAGCCCTTAAGCTCCAGATACAGAAACACACACAGAGAACACTACACACAGGCACGCACCAATGCACGTGCACACACACACACACACAAACAAACTCACACACTCACCTCACCTTCATCAAACCTAAGTTTTGTCAGAACACAATCCCAAACACACACACACACGCTACTCCCCCACACCATACATCACCTTGCTCAAACCAGAGCTCCTAGTAAGAGGCTAACTTTTGATGTATAAACACATACATTTTCAAACTCTTGCTCAGTCACATTCAGCCACACTCACACACCTGATCTCCTCACTTCGACCTCACGGGAAACACACTCTCACAAGCAGTCTTTGGCCTGCTGCCCTCCAAGACGCATTCTCAGACAGGACAGATATACAGTATAGATGTACGTAACACCTCTTTATCCCCACTCCATAGTAGTGAGTTTGGTTCTGTACTCTGTTTTGTGTTGCTGGTGTTATTGGGAATGGGAGTTGTCCAATGGCACAGGCGATAAGGAAAGGGCCAGCAGTACGGAGCAGTACAGCGTTTGTTTGTGCTTGCCGTGTCTTATCAGTTTGGCACTCTTCACTGCATGGGTTAGGACATACGTGGCACAGCTTTCACAAGTAGAGACACATGACCTGAGTGATGAATAGGACCAACATTTGCCTATTGAGGGGATCCCCACAGGAGATTAATAAAGTTGTGTTGAATTGAATTAACCCCATCCTGTCCGCTAGATATGAGTATATGCACACACATACTCACCTATAGTCATGTACACGCACACACCAAACTATAAAAGTGGGACACAAATGCCCTAAATGTAACCCTGTCCTCCCAAGACGCACCCCTGGAGCTGCCCTCCTTCCAACTGACGCCATCCCAGCGTCAGATCGTGTTCCAGGGCGACAGCCTGCCCTTCCAGTGCCAGGCCTCGTTCGTGGCGGAGGACATGCAGGTACTGTGGTACCAGGACGGCCGCATGGTGGAACCCGACGCAGCCCAGGGCATCTTCATTGAGAAGAGCATGGTACAGAACTGCTCCCTCATCGCTAGGTAAGATGAATACCATCTGGTTCCTCTCCGTTTCTTTCTTCCAGGGAGTTTCTTCTTGCCACTGTGCTTCTGCTATTTGCTCACTGTGCAGCTGTTTGCACTTTGTGACAAATGCTGTTGAAAAAAGGGCAGTGTAAACAAAATTTGATTGATTGATACCATGAAGTTCAAGCGGCCTCCTTAGCACAGTAGTGTGTGAAACCATGGTATATGCATTTCTAAAAAAGGAATGTGGTCAGCACTGAGGAAATCCTGTGTATGACTCCTATGTTACAGTAAAAGGCCAAAGCTACTGTTTGGCAGTAATATTTTATGTCACTGTTGTTCCCTCTATGTTCTGTCAGTGCGTTGACCATCTCCAACATCCAGCCTGGTTCTACGGGAAACTGGGAGTGTCGTGTGAGGACCAGCCGCGGGAACACCACGCGTACCGTCCACATTGTGGTTCTGGAGAGCTCTGCCAAGTACTGCCCACCCGACAGGGTGTCCAACAACAAGGGAGACTTCAGGTGAGCGGGGGGATATGTTCATTGTCACAGACCAGGTTGATATCAGTCAGTATCTGTTAGATAAATATTTTAGGTAAAAGTTGTACTTTTATTAATCTATTGGTTTGATCTAATCTAATATTGGTTTGATCTAATCTCCACCATGTGGTTTAATCTCATCTATTGTTTTATGTAAGCAGGTAGGTATACACTGACTTGTGTAATTTGAATAGACTTGTTTAGGCTGTTTAAATTTGTGTCAGTTGTTTGTGGAACAAGCTTGGCTCTGTGGCACCTCCTAGTGGCTGAATATCAGACTTTTAATTGTAGTTATATCTAGGTCGTATCCACTAGGCACCAAATGGAAGAAAACTGACTGAAACAGGGAAGGACTAATGTGAACTTGTCCAATAAGAAATGCTTGTTTTGATTGCTGGATATTTTCAATTTGTAAAATTGTAGTTGTCTAAAAGCATCTAATCCATTGAGTAAATCGTAGCACAGGGCTGGAATAAAAGCTTTCCACAGTTTTAGATGATGATGTAGAGCACCAGTAAGTGGCAGCTGTTGTGGCTAAATAATCACATGATGTTCGTGGAACATACCACGTGACTCATGCTAACTACACTGTGGCATAACCACCCTTCTTTTTGTCACTAATTCTATCTCTCTATAACTGGTTTGCTGGGAGGAAGACTCTTGACAATAAACGTCAACCTGGCACATCTATTAAGCACTTCATCAATCTTAGGGGGATTCTGGCATTTTGCTAGCTGAACAAATTCTCTCTGTCTGTCTCTCGCTCTCTCTCTCCCCTCCGCCTGTCTCTCTCTCTCTCTCTCTCTGATCTCCATCTGTCTCTCCTCTGTCTGTCTCTCTCTCTCTCTCTCTCTCTCTCTCTCTCTCTCTCTCTCTCTCTCTCTCTCTCTTTCTCCCCCCCTCTCTCTCTTTTCCTCTCCCCCTCCACTCAGATGGCCTCGTACCCTGGCGGGCATCACAGCCTTCATGCCCTGCAACAAGCTGGCGTCGGGCGCAGGAATCTACTCGGGCTCGGTGGGTGACGAGCGGCGGGCATGGCGTCGCTGTGACCGCGGGGGCCTGTGGGCCGAGGACGACTACTCCCGCTGCCAGTACCAGAAGGACGTCACCCGCGTCCTCTACATCATCAACCAGGTGACCATGGCACTCTGTCTGCCCATGTTTGATTTGCTCTCGTTGTCTGTCTGTGTTGTCTTTCTCGATCTCCTCTTGTTTTCTTTCTACAACTTATTATATTTTTCCTCATCTTTGTTTGTTTTCATCTTTCAAGTCTTTGCTCTTGGTCTGTTCTTTTTATCTCTTTCTTCTGCCAGTGTTTTTATTATTTTCACTCACATTTCCTCTTGATGCTTTCACCCTTGTGTACAGTCCTTTTAAATTTCTCTCTCTCTCTCTCTCTCTGTCTCTGTCTGTGTCTGTCTGTCTGTCTGTCTGTCTGTCTGTCTGTCTGTCTGTCTGTCTGTGTTCTAGATGCCTCTGAACATGACCAACGCAGTGATCACGGCCCGCCAGCTGCTCGTCTACACAGTGGAGGCCGCCAACTTCTCCGATAAGATGGACGTCATCTTCGTGGCTGAGATGATCGAGAAGTTTGGCAAGTTTGCTGAGAAATACAAGGAGGTGAGTCCCACTTCCATCTCACAGGCTCACCTTGTATCTCATTTAGGGATGAATAAGACGCACGCATTTGCATATAAAGACACACACACACACATACAGTGCCTTGCAAAAGTATTCATCCCCCTTGGCGTTTTTCCTATTGTGTTGCATTACAACCTGTAATTTTAAATTTATTTTTATTTGGATTTCATGTAATGGACATACACAAAATAGTCCAAATTGGTGAAGTGAAATGAAAAAAAAAAACTTGTTTCAAAAAATTCTAAAAAATAAATAACCGAAAAGTGGTGCGTGCATATGTATTCACCCCCTTTGCTATGAAGCCCTTAAATAAGATCTGGTGCAACCAATTACCTTCAGAAGTCACATAATTAGTTAAATAAATTCCACCTGTGTGCAATCTAAGTGTCACATGATCTGTCACCTGATCTCAGTGTATATATACACCTGTTAGGCCCCAGTCTGCAACACCATTAAGCAAGGGGCACCACCAAGCAAGCTGCACCATGAAGACCAAGGTGGTCTCCAAACAGGTCAGGGACAAAGTTGTGGACAAGTACAGATCAGGGTTGGGTTATTAAAAAATATGAGAAACTTTGAACATCCCACGGAGCACCATTAAATCCATTATTACAAAATTGAGAGAATATAGCACCACAACAAACCTGCCAAGAGAGGGCCGCCCACCAAAACTCACAGACCAGGCAAGGAGGGTATTAATCAGAGAGGCAACAAAGTGACCAAAGATAACCCTGAAGGAGCTGCAAAGCTCCACAGCGGAGATTGGAGCATCTGTCCATAGGACCACTTTAAGCCGTACACTCCACAGAGCTGGGCTTTATGGAAGAGTGGCCAGAAAAAAGCCATTGCTTAAAGAAAAAAATAAGCAAACACGTTTGGTGTTCGCCAAAAGGCATGTGGGAGACTCCCCAAACATATGGAAGAAGGAACTCTGGTCAGATGAGACTCAAATTGAGCATTTTGGCCATCAAGGAAAACGCTATGTCTGGCGCAAACCCAACACCTCTCATCACCCCGAGAACACCATCCCCACAGTGAAGCATGGTGGTGGCAGCAGCATGCTGTGGGGATGTTTTTCATCGGCAGGGACTGGGAAACTGGTCAGAATTGAAGGAATGATGGATGGCGCTAAATACAGGGAAATTCTTGAGGGAAACCTGTTTCAGTCTTCCAGGGATTTGAGACTGGGACGGAGGTTCGCCTTCCAGCAGGACAATGACCCTAAGCATACTGCTAAAGCAACACTTGAGTGGTTTAAGGGGAAACATTTAAATGTCTTGGAATGGCATAGTCAAAGCCCAGACCTCAATCCAATTGAGAATCTGTGGTATGACTTAAAGATTGCTGTACACCAGCGGAACTCATCCAACTTGAAGGAGTTGGAGCAGTTTTGCCTTGAAGAATGGGCAAATATCCCAGTGGTCAGATGTGCCAAGCTTATAGAGACATACCCCAAGAGACTTGCAGCTGTAATTGCTGCAAAAGGTGGCTCTACAAAGTATTGACTTTAGGGGGGTGAATAGTTATGCACGCTCAAGTTTTCTGTTTTTTTGTCTCATGTCTTTGTTTTACAATAACAAATATTTTGCATGTTCAAAGTGGTAGGCATGTTGTGTAAATCAAATGATACAAACCCACCCAAAATCAATTTTAATTCCAGGTTGTAAGGCAACAAAATAGGAAAAATGCCAAGTGGGGTGAATACTTTCAAGCCACTGTACACACACACAGAGGATAGTAACACATGCACGATGAGGTGACTCTGCAGGCATAGGTGTAATGAGAAGAAATTGGGTCACTTTAAGTCGAACTACTGTAGATAATAGTTTGTCAGTGTGTGTTTACTGTGTTCAAGTGAATGCTCCCACATTGCTTCTGAGTGCAAGTGACAGTGTGAATCCTCAACTTACTGTATGCCTTTCAATCTTACTCCTGATATTTGGGGCTTTTTCCATTGATGTTATAACTACGTTCCTCATAGTTGAGACAAAGCAACCCTGTCCTGTTTAAATCCACAGAGGAATCAGAATGAGAGCGGATAAGATAGGATCTGGAATGAGGGATTTTTCCTGTGGGTGATTTGAGCTGTGGGGGATGGCAGAGCAAGGCCGGGTCAGGTTTCTTTGCCTGTTGGGTTTCCGTTGGGAAGGCTTTCAGTGGCGCACCTGGTTGAGACCTGTGCCCTCAGTCAGCACCAAAGCCTCAAAATAATTTTATTTCCACAGTGATGATAATAACATTGTTATTGTTTTCGATTGATATGGCTGGTGTATGCATGTGCCTGTCTGTGGCCCTGCATGTATGTGCAGGTAACTGTTAGCGTGTAGTTATGTTGTTTCTTGGTGTGTGTTAACCCTGTTCTCTCTCTCTCTGTCTCAGTTGGGGGACGTGATGGTGGACATCTCCAGTAACCTGATGCTGGCTGATGAGCGGGTGCTGTGGATGGCTCAGCGCGAGGCCAGGGCCTGCTCCCGCATCGTGGAGTGTCTCCAGAGGATCGCTGTACACCGCCTAGCTAGCACAGCCCAGACCTACTCCACCGTAAGATCACAGTAAATCATGAGATCACAGTATATAATGTCCTATTACAACTCTATGGACCAAATCCTGAACAGCATTGAGGCATTAATGCGTTGATGTCATTGGGAGATGCACATGAAGTTGGACCACTGTCTGTAGATCTGTGTGTGTGTGTGTGTGTTACACTATTTTTGAATTTAAAAACCTGTCCTATCTTATTGTTCTTCATTTCGCCTTGTGTATTATTTTTCTCTATTTCCTATTATTTGTTCCCAGAATTCCCATAATATCGCTCTGGAGGCCCACGCCATCAAGGCGAGCAGCTTCAACGGCATGACCTGCACACTGTTCCAGAAGCTGATGCCTGAACGTGGCGGGCTCAGAGACCTGGGCCCACGCATAGACCTAGATGGCAACCCTGACCGCCAGCTCAGCTTCAAGTGTAATGTCACCAGCACCCTGTCCAGCCTCGCTCTTAAGGTCAGTACCCAGGAATGTCCATAAGGGAGTCAATCACAAAGTGCTTATAAAGTAACACAGCCTAGACTGCAAAGAGCAAGCAGCAGCAGTCATGTTCATTGTAACAGGCCTAATGAAGGCATCTGCATACTAAGTTCGATTTGCTCCTAGCAGAACTCGGCTAGGCGAAGTGAACTCCCTTAAAAGACCTTCGCTTGAAAAACTAGTACTGTTTGTCCATCTTGAGACGCCGTAGCCATTATACACTTCCTCAAAATAGTCAGAATTAATCTAAAATAACACAAGAAATCTGTCATTAATTTTGATGTTTTTGCTTAGTCGCGTATTTTTACATCTAACTAATCTGTTTGGTGCACTATTTCTCAAGTGAAACAATTTGCATGAAAATTAGTCGTCTCTCGTTGAATGACAACAAACACTTAATTGAAGAATCCTATGTTTACCAATCACCGACAAAGGGGCGTAGACTTTGGCTACCAAACTTCGGCTTTCCTTGAGAAAATGTTTTGTGTGCACGAACAGCTGAAAAAAAACCTTACCGAAGACCAAAACGTCACAAAATTTGTCATAATATATGCCCAAACTGTTTCAGATGGGAAACATGCAGACGTCTTTAATGAGGTGCATTGTCATGTGACGTTCACCCATAACACACATTAAAACAATGAACTGTAAGATAAAGCGTTACCCAGAATTCCACAATTATACTGTACACTCAATCATCATTTTCATCTCAATGGGACTCACCTGTATAAATAAAGTATAAATGAAATTATAGAATAGAATCACCTCTCTTTCTCTCCTCAGAACACCATAGTGGAGGCGTCCCTGCAGCTCCCGCCCTCTCTGTTCTCCCAGTACTCTGTCCCTGGCCAGGCCGGCGACAACGTCTACAAGCTCCACCTGCTGGCCTTCCGCAACGGCAAGCTCTTCCCCTCCACGGGCAACTCCACCCTTCTGGCCGACGGGGGAAAGAGGAGGAACGTGGCCACCCCCGTGCTCCTGGCCAAGATAGGTGAGTCCGACATGGACCTTACTGTACCACTAAAGTATTAGATGGTTTTGTTCAAGATGTTGTTGCGACTTATTTTAATAGTGAATTTTACGGTATGGGCACCATAAATTATATTAGGAGGAATAGATCTTGATTTAAGCTTGCAAAGACTTGATTTAGGATCCCATCTGTAATTTTACATTTTATAATGTACGAAAAAGCTTAAGAAGTTTAGTTGTATGTAGTGAAAATGTGTGGCCATTATATTCTCTATCAATTACGTGCGAAATGGCAATATGTTTTTTGTTACAGCAGATTTTAGAAAATGTTGCGCAAAAAGGATTGATAGATGCATAAAGATAAGAACCAGGACATGTTTTGACATTCAAGACTAACGCCTCTCTCTCTCTCTCTCTCTCTCTCTCTGGTCAGATGGTTTCCCACTGCGCGGCCTGCGGATGCCGGTGAACGCCACGCTGCGGAGGTTTGCCCGCGGCACCGACGCTGTGCCCGCCTGCTGGAACTTCAGCCTGCTGGGCGGGCAGGGCGGTTGGCAGAACGAGGGCTGCCGTCTCCTGGGCCACCACGACAACTTCACCACGCTCTCCTGCGACTCGCTCAGCAACTATGCCCTGCTCATGGTGAGTGGCCAGGGGGTTCCTGGCCTTTAAACTCAATGAACAAATGTGACAACATAAGGTTGTTTGTTCCCAACAAGGGCTATTTTCCTCAGGAAATGTAGTCAGCTTCTTGTTTTATTTTCTTGCCATGATACTTCTGAGTATTAGGATAGTAATATCATGACAGCCTTACTTTTTTCGAGACATTAGCCTTTTCCCCCATCTGTTTGGGTTCACACTTTCTATAGACACTTCCTGTTTAGTTTTGGCTCAACCACATGACAGTCTCCTGAATAGGCGAAATCGGCGTCTTTCATCAGGGTTAATTTGTTATTGTATGGCACATTGTCATAAGTGATGACATTTTAACATGCTATGTGTATCCCAAAGGATCTTACTGGGGTGGAGTATTTCTCTCCCAGCATTGAGCCTCTCCACCCAGTCATCTACGCCACAGCTATCGTCCTGCTGCTCTGTCTACTGATTATCATCATCAGCTACATATACCACCACAGGTAACAGCTCTACCTGCATACTCATCCTGCTAGTAGAATTAGTACAGTGTATACCAGGTGTATAAGATACCAAGTACCCATCTTACTAGTAGTACGGTGTCTAATACAGTGTTTATTACCAAATGGTGGACTGTGACTCGCTTTTCGGTCGCAGCATAAGATTTGAGGCCAGAATGTTTCTTATTGGTTGGGTCACAATGCAAAGAAGTTTGAGAACCAATACTGTCCAGTCTCCAGTAAGATTTTCACCACTCCACAAGCGCATCTCTACCACTCCAACTCGTTCAAAATAACAACAAAGATTTTGAATTAATCAAACGTACGAATAGCTACTATATTCTATGACAAATAGCTATTATATTTTATTCCCTGAGCTCAGCATTTATTTGCTGAATCTCACCATGTCAATTCTGCATGGTTGTGTGTCCAGGTCTGTCCGGATCAGCCGTAAGTACTGGCACATGCTGGTCAACCTCTGCCTCCACATCTTCCTCACCTGCGGCGTCTTCGTGGGTGGCATCAACCAGACACGCTACACCAGCATGTGCCAAGCCGTGAGTATTCCCCCTTACCACCCACCATAACCCCCTGGTGTGCCAGCCTATCTGCCTACCAGGCTGCCAGGCAGACTGCCAACCTGCCTTCCCGTGCTCAAAGCACCTCACAATTATGTGGGGATCTCAAGATGTTGTGGAGAAAGATGTGCCTTTGGCAACATAGTGTGATTCTGGATTTGTGGCGGAGTCCCGGCTCTCCACCCTTCTCCCAAAGTGTGCACTTGCACACTTGCCGTCATAGATTGAAATGCATTGGATTGGCTAGAGGGAGTTTACACCATTTGTTAAATCCATGATGAGGTGTGCAAGTGCACACTTTGGGAGAAGGGTGGAGAATCGGGACGCAGTCTATCTCTCAAGTATAGATTTCTACTTCAGCTGAAGGCAGTGTAGCACCCCCTGCTGATCTGCACTGGGTTCTTTCATTAATGCATTGTCCCTCACACAAAGGGCCTGGTTGGTAGAGAACATCTGGGAAAAACCGGTTTTCCACCTGGAATAAAGGATATCGTACAGCTAGTCTCTACTTTGTCAAGGAATTTAAACAACTGACTATTAGTACAATAACATTTTATGAAGTAAATGTGTATTATTTTGCTCACAAATTATTTGTGAAGCATCTATGTAGCGCTTATGTAGAATTTATGAATGCTCTATAAAGCCTTCATATAGTACAGGCAATATATGGAAAGATCTTTCACGTTTTCATAAAAGCATGAAACTTGGTACACTTGTACAGTTTGGGGCACTGAACCTTTTCACAATTACATTTTTTGTTGAAAGTGGGACTGAGATGTATTATTTTTTTTTTTTTAGGTGGGCATTATTCTGCATTACTCTACACTGGCCACGGCTTTGTGGGTGGGCGTGACGGCACGCAACATCTACAAGCAGGTGACTCGCAAGGCCAAGCGCTATGAAGAGCTGGACGAGCCCCCGCCCCCTCCACGACCCATGCTGAGGTAAAATACTACAGTTCCCACAATGTACTGTTATGAAAAGGCTTGGTCATTATACCCAATGAAAGTCCTGCCTACTTCCTGATTCCAGTCCTGTACGGTTTTTGAATGGGCTTCAAGCTTATTTAATCAAATTCATGAAATCGCAGTCATATAATATATATATATATATATATAAAATTGGATTCATATTTGTGCATTGATTTGCTCGTACCTGATGCCTTTTATCAAAATATTTGACGCTCAATAAGTAAGTCACATCGGCGAAAGTTACAAAAGGATCATTTGAACTACAACTCCTGAAGTCTAGTTCGCAAGCTGGAGCGTGCTTGCTCGAGTTGAGAACTCACAGGATGGTAAAAACCCTTTAGTTACAGTCAATTTGATGTGTTTTATATTAGATTACACTGTGGCTTGTTTACTGAACATTGTCAGCCAGTACTTTAAAAATAAATAAATAAATATACTTTCTTTGTAGACCGGCAAGCTGTTGAAAGTGAGACATATATACAGTGGGGAAAAAAGGTATTTAGTCAGCCACCAATTGTGCAAGTTCTCCAACTTAAAAAGATGAGAGAGGCCTGTAATTTTCATCATAGGTACACGTCAACTATGACAGACAAAATGAGAAAAAGAAATCCAGAAAATCACATTGTAGGATTTTTAATGAATTTATTTGCAAATTATGGTGAAAAATAAGTATTTGGTCAATAACAAAAGTTTCTCAATACTTTGTTATATACCCTTTTGTTGGCAATGACACAGGTCAAACGTTTTCTGTAAGTCTTCACAAGGTTTTCACACACTGTTGCTGGTATTTTGGCCCATTCCTCCATGCAGATCTCCTCTAGAGCAGTGACGTTTTGGGGCTGTCGCTGGGCAACACGGACTTTCAACTCCCTCCAAAGATTTTCTATGGGGTTGAGATCTTGAGACTGGCTAGGCCACTCCAGGACCTTGAAATGCTTCTTATGAAGCCACTCCTTTGTTGCCCGGGCGGTGTGTTTGGGATCATTGTCATGCTGAAAGACCCAGCCATGTTTCATCTTCAATGCCCTTGCTGATGGAAGGAGGTTTTCACTCAAAATCTCACGATACATGGCCCCATTCATTATTTCCTTTACACGGATCAGTCGTCCTGGTCCCTTTGCAGAAAAACAGCCCCAAAGCATGATGTTTCCACCCACATGCTTCACAGTAGGTATGGTGTTCTTTGGATGCAACTCAGCAATCTTTGTCCTCCAAACACGACGAGTTGAGTTTTTACCAAAAAGTTATATTTTGGTTTCATCTGACCATATGACATTCTCCTAATCCTCTTCTGGATCATCCAATCATGGATCATAGCAAACTTCAGACGGGCCTGGACATGTACTGGCTTAAGCAGGGGGACACGTCTAACACTGCAGGATATGAGTCCCTGGCGGCGTAGTGTGTTACTGATGGTAGGCTTTGTTACTTTGGTCCCAGCTCTCTGCAGGTCATTCACTAGGTCCCCCCGTGTGGTTCTGGGATTTTTGCTCACCGTTCTTGTGATCATTTTGACCCCACGGTGTGAGATCTTGCGTGGAGCCCCAGATCGAGGGAGATTATCAGTGGTTTTGTATGTCTTCCATTTCCTAATAATTGCTCCCACAGTTGATTTCTGCAAACCAAGCTGCTTACCTATTGCAGATTCAGTCTTCCCAGCCTGGTGCAGGTCTACAATTTTGTTTCTGGTGTCCTTTGACAGCTCTTTGGTCTTGGCCATAGTGGAGTTACTGTTTGACTGTTTGAGGTTGTGGACAGGTGTCTTTTATACTGATAACAAGTTCAAACAGGTGCCATTAATACAGATAACGAGTGGAGGACAGAGGAGCCTCTTAAAGAAGAAGTTACAGGTCTGTGAGAGACAGAAATCTTGCTTGTTTGTAGGTGACCAAATACTTATTTTCCACCATAATTTGTAAATAAATTCATTAAAAATCCTACAATGTGATTTTCTGGAATTTTCTTTTCTCAATTTGTCTGTCATAGTTGACGTGTACCTATGATGAAAATTACAGGCCTCTCTCATCTTTTTAAGTGGGAGAACTTGCACAATTGGTGGCTGACTAAATACTTTTTTCCCCCACTGTATCTGGTGGGAGTTGTAGTTCAAGTGTGTAGTTGAAATTACTTTTCGGCTTCATGCTTCGTCTTGGCCGTCAAATACATTGAAAACCGGCATATGGTAAGTAAATTCACTCGGAAACACATATACATGTTATATGACCGCGTTGTCATGAATTTGACGATGCAAATTTGAAGCCAATTCTTAGCCTACAAAACGAGGAACCAGGAAGTACCACTTTCATGGCAGATAGCGAGTCAGACAAAAGTGTGTGCTCCCTTACAAGGAGCTGCTAATACTATTAAAATATCTTCTAGAAAGGTTTCTCTTACCTCTGTGACTTGTGGAGGGAGAAAGGTTGGTTTGTGTTGTTGGTTTCAATTCCATCACATGGTGTCAGTATAGAGGCCTAAAGCACACATACCACCTCTGCAACCAACTCACCACCAATTTGATCTCTTTCACAAGAAAGCAGGCCCTAATTAGTGATTTTTCCACTACCTTTTCCTACCAGGTTCTACCTAATAGGCGGAGGGATACCGATCATAGTCTGTGGCATAACTGCAGCCGCCAACATCAAGAACTACGGTAGTCGGGCCAACGCGGCATAGTAAGTAGTGCCAGTCTGTCACATTGTATGGAAACCAATTAGTCCTTCTACTATACTGTGTGTTTATGGAAATTCTGTTACATTTGATCTCGCCAGAAGGCTTCGTGTATATATAGAAAACTATACCCAAGGGAACTCGCTTTTTGTTTTCGACTGGCCAGAATGCGTGTGTGCAGGGATTTATGTAAATAACAACTATTTAGCGGGGATAGGAAAAGTTCTGAGTCCCTGTGAAGTTCTGAGAACCCGATTAGGAGCGCTATTTATAGTGTGTCGGCACCTCACGTCTGCTGCCAGTTTCTCTCTTTCTCTTATCTTTCTCTCGTTCTCCTGTTCTCTCTTTGTCTCTTTCTCTCTTTCACTCTCTTCTCTCACTCTCTTTTCTCTCAAATCTGCTGCCAGTTTCCTAATCTATCGTTCTCTTTCTCTTCTCTTTCGTCCTCTTTTTCTTTCATTCTCATGTTCTCTCCCTTGTTCTCGTGCTCTCGTTCTCTCTCTCTCTCTCTCTCTCTCTCTCTCTCTCTCTCTCTCTCTCTCTCTCTTCTCTTTTATGGTGGCAGCTGTTTGGGTTGCATAAGCGCACTGAGTAATTTGGAAATCTGGACCTGGAAGTCTTTGGAGTTTAATTAATTTGCGCTACCGAGACGAATGGAACCCGCCCCGTGGAATCTTCTGGAACAGATTCTCTGAGAATAGGAAAGCAGGATGTTTAATACAAAGAGACTCAATGCGTGCATGTGTGTCTTTACCTGATTTAATGAGATAAGGGGTTGAGTCAAACTCATTATATATATTTTTAAAGGTTGGACCACTTGAATGGGTGGCACTTGACTCATCCAGTGACTCATTATGCAAAGATTTCTGTCAAATGGTCGAGTTACCTATCACCAAATTCGTGGCTTTTCAACTCTTAAAAACATGTTTTCCCACCTCCAGAGTGCCTATTAAATGCCAATTAAAGTAACAGGGTTGACGATTTCATCTTAAATCGGCCATAAATCCCCTTGTGACATGGGGAATGGAAGCTTGTTGTGTGCAATTGAATGCAATCTTCCCCCCAAAATGAAAATGTTAAAACATTTCTAGCCTATCTATCTATGGGTAACAGGGTTGACATGTTATGCTCAACCCGCTCAGTTTTCCACCAGAAAATGGCCAAAAATAGAACCAGCTCACCTGCTTTAACACTATGATTTGACTATTAGATGTTCAATGTTTCTTTTGCAATAATACAATTTTTTTATGATTTCACCATTAAAACAAGAGTTCAGTTCACGTAACAGGGTTGACCTTAAAATGAGGGACAGACGTAAATGAATCACTAATCACAATAAATAAATGATTCTCTCACAAATTACTTTGTCAAAGCAACAAAATAAGTAGAGCTTTACAATAATGGTGAAACTTGGAGACATTTGGGGGTTAAGAGGTTAAAATCTTGACATGTCAAAATGCAGAATTTTGGCACTGTAACCAGTCTTTATTTATATAAAAACATCTGATTTATTGAATTATCCATGTGGTCTATATTAAAGGGCAATTCATTTAATATAATAGGCTTTTAACATTCAGTATTGGTGCACAATTTCTACTTAAAATATCAAATGCACTCTTTTTGTGGCACGACCCTCATACACGTCATATGGCTCTATTGCCAACATATGTTTTTGCTGATATATCAACACCACCGCATACTACATTTGTGTGAATGATCATGTGCGTGTGTACCACATTTACATAAATATTTACTGTATGTTTGTACTGATGCCTTCCCCCTCTATGTGTCTCTCAGTTGCTGGATGGCGTGGGAGCCCAGCCTGGGGGCCTTCTACGGCCCTGTCAGCTTCATCGTCTTCGTGGACTGCATGTACTTCCTTAGCATCCTCCTCCAGCTGCGACGCCACCCCGAGCGCCGCTACGAACTCAAGGAGCCCGCTGAGGAGCAGCAGCGACTGGCGGTAGCGGGCAGCGAGGCCGGAGACGTCCCGGCCACCCTCCTCCACCTCCACCCCCAGGACACCTCGTCCTCCACAGTTTCGGCTCCTCACGCCGTGTCCCTGTTGGCCTTGGAGAACGAGCATACATTCGCGGTGCAGCTCCTGGGCGCGGCGGCGGCTCTGGGGCTCTACGCAGCGCTGTGGGTGTTTGGCGCCATGGCCGTGTCCCAGGAGAGGCCGGCCGACCTGGTGTTCTCCTGCCTGTTTGGTGTGGCGGCGCTGGCCCTGGGTGGCTTTCTAATGGCGCACCACTGCGTCAACCGCCAGGACATGAGGCGCCACTGGGCCCAGGCTTGTTGCCCTGGGAGACGGGCCTACTCGGCGCAGGAGGATGCCCTGCTGCCGCTGCCGGGGGCATCCACGGCATCCGCGACTGGGTCGGTTGGTAGGGGCAATGGCGATGCGGCCAAGTGTGCCCACAGCAGTGCTGAGTCATCGTGCACCAATAAGAGTGCCCCCAGCATGCGAAACTCCGCCCAGGGAAGTAAACTGACCAATCTGCATGCAGAGGCGGCACAGAACAAGTCCCTGCCCCTACTACCCCTGCCCGCGCCGGCCAATGGCGCAGCCTTGCTGGACAACAGCCTGACTGAGCACTCGGTGGACAACGAGATCAAGATGCACGTGGCGCCCGTGGAGGTGCAGTTCCGGCCCGTCAACAACAACAACAATCCCACCGCCGCCACCAACGGACACGCGGGCCGGCACCACAAGAACAGGGCGCGGTCCCACCGGGCCAGCCGACTTACGGTGCTGCGCGAGTACGCCTATGACGTGCCCACCAGCGTGGACAGCAGCGTGCAGAGCGCCCCCCACAGGCGGCATCGCCACGAACACCACGACAGTCAGCAGGCGCGGAGCAGCCGACGGGCAGCCTACATGGCCTACAGGGAGCGCCTCCAGAGCCAGATGCAACAGGACAGCAGCGACGCCAGCACGTCCCTGCCCCGACCCTCGCGCTACGCCGACAAGGGAGGGGGCAGCACTAGCACCCTGGGCAACGGGGCTGTCGGAGGAGTTGGAAGTGGAAGTGTAGGAACAATAGTAGGGTCAGGTGGAGAAAGTGAGGGGGTTGGGACTGCTGCTTCCGTTACGAGTAAAGACAGTAGTAGCGTAAAGGAGCCCAATAACACAGAATTGGTGGAGGGCCGGCCCAAGTCGTACGGGCTCAACCTGGCTACACAAAACGGCACGCTCAAAGACAACGGGCAGAACATGCCCTTAATCAACACAGAGAGCTCGAGCTCGGCCAACATAAAGACTGGCTTATGGAAACACGAAACTACCGTGTAGCAAATGTTTTCTGCACCAAAGACTGCATATCACGTGCTCTACCCTTCAACTGTGAAATTTTATTTTCTACTATAGTTGCTTTTTAGATTGTGTATAATAATAAAATGTTATTGGGAAGAAAATGTATCTGAAAAATAGTCACAATATTTTGAGTTTGTGAAAGTCTGTGTTTTGGATGCCACTCGTCTGTCTCTGTAGTAGACATTTTATAAATGGTCTATTTTTAAATAATTTAATCCCGATTGGTTACGCTGTTCTCGAGTTTTGTACGTGAAACTGCATGGTCTGTACCGTTACCCTGTGCATATCCATTGGGCGGATTCTTTTTTATTTTCTAGTTTGTTTCAACGTAATAAACCAAACGTTTCTAATTCCATTCACCTAATTGAAAGTCTCTCATTCCGCTATTCTCGGTTAACTTTGACCGGCATATTTCAAGAGTGCAAAGGTGAGTCAAAGCATCTTGGTTTTCAAAAGTTCCCATGCTGTCAGTGGTTCCTTGACAAGCTCGTAATTGGGTTTTTGGTGAGCTCTGTGTCCTGTCATTTTTACACTCCTTGAGAGGTCATGCTTTAATTGTGGTTGAGGTCTTGGTTAGTATCGATTTAAAAAAAAAGTATAATTATAAAAATCAGTCCAGGATTTTATACAGCACACTGTGTCCTGGAAGTTTCTGGGGGTCCACTGGCTTGCCACGGCAACGCCTGCAGTGATTGACAGCTGACTCTCAGGCCAGAGTCCATGTCACTGTCGGCAATGAGAGGAGAGGATAATTAGTGCAGTGCATCTAAACCTCTATACCTCTCCCCCTTTCCTCTCCTCTCTGTAGCATCAGCACTTTTTACAGCTGGATATCCCTGTGAGGAGGAGTGAAGAGAATGATTTGACGACTGAGCTGTACTTTACCTCCAATGTGTTGGAGAGAGATGGATTCCCATCCTTTAGTCTGCTAGGTGAATCCCATTGTCAGTTATAATGTATTGATATCAACTATGGTCTTAATCCATTGATTAGTAATCCCGCTATAGGGCCTAGGGGCAATCCATGCTGGAGGATCTGCCCTAAATGTTTACTATACGTTTGACAGTCATTTATTTGACATACTACACCTATTACGTATCAACCTGTCCTTTATTCAACTTTTGTGTAAAAAGAAAGTACACTGAAATACTGACTACATGTCCCAGTCCCAAAGGACACAGCAAAGAAAGTAAAGCCATCACTCAGATGTTTATGCTAATGATGCAATACAAAGCATACTTCAGGCAGGCAGAGATGTATTACCCAGCCATCTTGGAAGTGACAAACTGTAATATGGCCTTTTGAATAATGTATTGAGCAGTTATGGCTTGATTAGTGTTGGCTTCAGTGATTCCCTCCAGTCAGAAGAGTGAGCTTCAAATAATGACTGTTTCAAGGAGTCGATCCCATCTGTTAGAAAGTTAACTTGAGGTTGACACTTTTCTGTTTTTCTTTCTTGAGCTAATCAAGTCAACCAACAAGCTGATTTCAATCTGGTTTGAAATCACGCAGACACCTCGGACAAAAATGTATAAATTAAAGATCAGATATTAATAGTCAATTGCTTCCCCAAATGTGTGTTTTAGAACTCGGCAAAGGATATCCAATGATTCCAGGACTGTAAAAAAAGTAGTTGAGAAACTTCAAATGGTGACCGCTATAATGAGATGTATAAAGTAATATCGTTTTTTGTCATCAACTATGAATGCCTAAGAGCGTGAACAACCACTACTTCTTATGGGCGGCGAAGGACAGTAAAGGTCAGACGAGTGATGCATCTTTTACATTTTCCGATAACTACCTACCTTGCCTGGAAGAAGCATCTGGCTTTGTTGTGGAAACTTGCCACAGGAATTAAGATTGATACCTTCTGCAAAGTCGTGCCATCTGTGCTAGTCACAATTTAGCTGGCTCGAACTGTCTAGAGGAAAATAAATATATTACCTGGAGCGTCCTAATTACCTACAACTTCAGAGGCCTGAAATATAGATTAAAATATAAATTAGCAACCACCGTTTCTAATGATTATGGCAGTCTCAAGCCATTGTCTTATTACATGTAGCAAAATATGAATCATACATTGAGTCTGGTACTTTCTAATAATGATTGATAATATGGCATCAGATCTTTTCACATCAGATCTTTTTCTGAGGTGATCTGATTGGTCAAAATACCAATAAGTGGCAAAAGAGATCAGAATTGGGCTGCCTGTCTAAACGCAGCCATGGGGTGCATTTAGTTTACACAGCACTACCACATAATCACACTCCACACCCCCAGATGGCTGTCAATATACTCTCAAGGCTGAAGCAATCTGTTGAAGTCTGTTTGGTTTGGGTAACTTCAGGAATCCACGTGGTGGTGAGAGTTGATCGTTTGCTGTGCCCCTGTACATGGAGGCCATGCAGTCTCTTTGATGGAGCTTTTCTTTATTCTGTGTTTTTAGTATTTTCAACTAAATACAACCGAACGACCAAACAATGCTGGAGATGGCCAGCCTAGATGGTCAACGCTGCCGGTCTAAGGTCAGAAACTGAAGGTAAGCTGTCTGCGTTAGGCCTAGGACTCTAGATGGTTGGTGCTATCCGGGTTCCTTTGGACGTCCCAACCCTAAACCCTTACCTTAACCATTTTGCATTTAAACTTAAATGGGGTAGGGTTGTCCCAAGGATCCCAGATAGCAAGGACCCTAGACATAGTAAGCATATGCAGTAGTCGTGCTTTTATCTGAACGCATTGTTTTCAGTCACACCTGGGGTAGAGAAGACCAGGTGGAGATGACTGAGCGAGTGGAAGAACTTTCCTTGAACCGATTGAAATGGAGGACATTCATCAATGGCCTATGCTGATGTCAAAGTAAGTCATTGTTTGGCATGCGTTTCCTGAATCCAACTGTTGCAGGTCTATAGATATAGTCACTGAGGATGTCAGTATGGGAAAGTAGGATCTCATGGTCTTTTCAGGCTCATCCAAGGGATTCTTGACTATACAGATGGCTGGGTGTGGGGGCCATTTTTTTATGCAATGGGCAGAGGTCCAGATTCAGCTAAGTGTTGAAGAGGGAAGGGAGATATTGAGGAGAGGGCGAGTGGAGGTAGACTGAGATTGAGGGTCAGATTGAGGGAGCGGGTCAGATTGAGGGAGCAGGTGAGCTTGAGGGTGAGGCAGAGAAGGTAGAGGGCGAGCTTGAGGGAGAGGTCAAGGGTGAAGGAAGGGAGAGGAAGAGATTGAGGAAAGGGAAAGAAGGTAGAGGGAGAGACTGAGGGAAGGAAGAGCGAGAGGGAAGGTAGGAGTTGAGGGAAGGGAGAGAAGGTAGCGGGAATGACGATAGGAGAGATTGAGAAGAGGGGAGTGGCAGTAGACTGAGATTGAGGGAGCGGGTGAGATTGAGGGCGAGACTGAGGGCGAGACTGAGGGCGAGATTGAGGGGAAGGGAGAGGAAGAAATTGAGGAAAGAGAAGGTAGAAGTTGAGGTTAAGTGAGATGGGGGGAAGGTGGAGGAGAGGGAGAGATTGAGGAGAAGGAAGAGCAAGAGAGAAGGTAGAAGTTGAGGAAGAGATAAGGGAGAGGTTCTTTGTTGTTTTTTCATTCCATTCCTGGAGGACTCCCAAAGTGCTCATTTTTGTTACAGCCCTGCACTAACACCGCTGCGCTAAACCTGCAGGGGTTGGAGTCAATATGTTGGTTAGTTGAAACGTTGCAAAATGTTGCAGGTTTACAAGAGAGCCACAATATTGCATTATTGATTGATTTTTTCAAAGTAATCTGAAGTCTTTCGACTCATTTAAAATCTTCTATATTAATTGCCACGTTCATGATTTTGGCTTACATTTCCATAGGAAGGCATGCATTTTAGGCTGTGACTACCCACGATGCCTCAGAGCATTAGGATAATCCACACAAAGGCAATGACTGACCACACTAAATGGAGAACACACAAGTGTTTAAAATATCCAAATCCTGGGACCTGCTTTTTGTGTACTATATAGCCCAGAAAATGGTGACTTTAGACTGGAGTTACATAAACCCATCACACATAATAGCCTCTGTTAGCCTCATCACCCCCAGGCCACACTCAGTTCTAGTGCGACCCGTCAACTGCAAAGTGGATTCAGGAGGTTACTGCTTACTGTCAGAATCACGCAAAGTTGCATCTGAAGGGGAAGCTACCGTGACTGAACAACTAGCTTTTTGGGTAAACTAGCTTATTTCTTGTACTACAATGCAACTCTAGGGCATTTGCACATATTCATAGGCTTTTAAAGGCAAGATAAGTGAATGTATATAAGAAATGGATACATTTTCTATAGTATACCCTACTATGTGAGGCTTGTATGCAATTAGGGTTGCAAAATTCCAGTAACTTCCCCAAAAATATTTCTTGTTTATTTCTTGTTTATTCCATCCTGACATCAAGGAATTTTTCAACCAGGATTCAGAAAAACTGGGAATTTTGGGTAAGTTACTGGAATTGTGCAACCCTAAATGCAATGTTACACAGTAGAAAGTTCACATAGAAATGTGTTGTGTAGAACAGACATTCTCTCTCAATCAGGATAGGGAGTCATGTAAGCTCTATTCATTACATTTCTATCTGCAATCTTCTAAACATTGTAACTAGCCTAACCGTGGTACTTCCTCAAATATGTTGATTGAGTGCGACTTTCCCTTTGAGAGTGCAGGCGAAATTAGTCAGCGCTAATTTGTTAATATTTCATGAGTGAATCTGATTCATTTTTCATTTCATATGAGACCCACCCCTAAAAGGCGCCCACATACTATACTGAACAAAAATATAAATGCAACAATTTCAACGTTTTTTTTCAGCCTTATAGTTCATATAAGGAATTCAGTCAATTAAAATAAATAAATTAGTCCCTAATCTATGGATTTCACATGACTGGGAATACAGATATGCATCTGTTGGTCACATATCATCTGTGGTCCTCTGTAGCTCAATTGGTAGAGCATGGCACTTG